ATCTGATATTTCTATACGTGGTGTATTAACTCCATCTTTCTATCTTTTGGTAATATACTTTTGGGGAGAGAGTTGAATAATCTTTTTAAGAGACATTTTTTAGCGCTTATTTAATTTAATACGATTTATAGGAATCTCTAGATGTATAGTTAAGCTTTTAACTTTGATCAATGATTTTGAATAAAACACGATTGATATAAATTTTAAGATATCGAAAGAAGTTTCTTGGAAGCCATTTTGAATACCGTGATTAATTCATAATTAAATGAATCTATGATTCAATAATTAGCATACAGCAAGAATTAAGACATTTCACTTGACAAATTTGTCAACTTTTTATTTTTCAAAATCAGAAATTACTCGTAAGGGGATCACAAATTATTCGAGCATCACGAAAAGAGGTAGAGTTGAAAAAAAACTTCGTTCTATTAGATTGCAGATGTGTTACAGTAACGTTACGTTTGATAATTAGTAAAACAGATGTTTTGGGAGGAGAGGTTTCGTGACAATTTCCGAGATAACGGATATTAACGTAACACGATGACAGAGCGGCCAGGGAGACACCGTTCCGCGGGGACGGTATTGTCGTTCAGGAACCGTTTTATTGCCGTTTGCGCCAGTCCAGAGCCGAGGATCTCGCTCTGACGAGGACATTGTTCGAAGCTCTGGGAGACTCTCATGATTGTCGTGCTTTCTATTCTCGTAATAGTGGCCGTATTCAAATAAACGTCGGTACACGTTTACGCGTCGCGATCGTTGGGCAATCGAGGAAAAAAAGAAAAAAAGAAAAAAAAGGAGGAAGCGACTATTCCGACTTTGCTCCACAATTGACACCGACACGTTTGTTGATGACTTTTTTCTTTCCTTCCCGTAATTCGCGTGTTATTTATCATCATCGTCGTCGTCGTCATCATCATCTATTATCTCTTTAAGCGGTGATAAAATTGATGTCGTTACGCATCGAGAAGATTCAGAAGATTCTCAATGCTTGTAATCTTTCGTTTACAAGAGATAGTTGGATGCACGAAGAAACGAGTGGCGGGAATTTATCTTGCTTCGAAACAATGCGAATGGAATGTATTTGGTTCAACCGGCGGAGTGTAGCGATGGGATCAAGTTCAATATTGTATATTCGAATCAAATCGACTAAGATATTTCTAAATGTGTCTTCGATAAAAATAGCATAAAATTTATATGCTTCATTCACAGTAGCCTATATATATATATTTAATAGAATTTGCTTATCTATTCGAAATTATCGTTACAAAATTACAAACAGTCCTACAAATCCTAATCCTCTTGCAAAAAAGACCCGATTTTATCTTCGAACCGTGGAATTCTCGATATGACCCATGCTTCATCCCATTACTACTCTTACACAGAAATCTACTCAAAGTGGAATTATATTCCCTCCAAATACGTCGGATGAAAATCCATCCGGACCTAACCTAACCTAACCTAATCTAACTCGACCGCGCCGTCACACTTCCTTGCTTCTCGATACTGCTCCACGTCGCCACGTTTCACGCCGATCCCATCGTTATCGATCTACAGAGCGTTAATTGTACCGACCGTCTATGTAAATTAACGGGGGCTTACTCGCGGGAAAAAAAGTCGTGCAGTCGCCGCTTGAATTATTACGCAGATAGAGGAGACGCGGCCCGCGAGGAATCGTTAATGGCGCTGAGGGATCGATCCGTGGAACCGGTCGAAAAAATAGAGGAAATAAAATAAAAGAGAGGAAGAAAGAGAGAGAGAGAGAGGGGGGGGGAGGAAGGCAGATCCTATTGGTTTCGCGCGACCGTTAACGGTCTTGTCGGTCTATTTCGATCGGCGTGGCCCCTACAACAAAAATCGAGGCGCCTCGCCGCTGGCTTTACCTGTTATCAATTAACTGTTAACGTTGCTGCACACCGCGGAACCGTAAGTGGCCTGCGTGCGCTATCGAAGCGGCGGCCTCTTTCTCTATGAATAATGTATCTCGGTTCGGGGAATTCGTGGCATTTAATCATTGAATCGTTAAGAAACGGACTGACGAGCGGACTCGGAGGAGATTTATAACGTTCCCTCCGTAGAGTATTCCTGCACCGTCATGAGAATCTTGGATCGCGGGTGATGGCCTGTTTCGATCGCGCCCGTTCAATTTTCGCGTCGTTTGTCGTTGAGGTACGATAATCTCGTTCGAACGGATGATTTCTTTTCCCAATGAATGAATTGAAGGGAAATGAATAACGAAGAAGTGCTTGCGCGCTACGTTGGGGAAGGATGGATACAATGGAAAAATGATTTATAATAGGGTGGTTAATTTTTAAAAGAAAAGATGTTGAGAAAAAAAAATTGTTGAGAAGAGAAAAGAATCGATACAGAATTAATTCTAATACCACGGTATGTTGATATGTTTCTCGTTAATGGATTAGAGAGATAATATGATAACGAACGCGACATGGTATAAATTTTATTATGGATAATTGCGTTGTTTAAGGTGTTGCTCTTGTTACGGATGGATCAATTCTTATAAACATTTGTTTATGATATAAGATGGTCGATAAAGTATACGAGGAAGCGAGATTCATATAATGAACAATAAAATAAATTAACAGATCGTTTCATTAATGAACCGGAAAATTTATTGCGAATATTTATTATTATGCAGCAGTTGTTAATTTCGATGCAATTAACAGGTAAAGAATATATTTCTAATTTCTTTGAATAAGTGCATAAATAATTATGATAATATATAATCAGACGAGAGATAATTATTTCGACAGTTGTTTATAACACTATCTTAGCAATACTTAATCTCTAAATTTTCTATTGCCGATTAAATGTTATGTAAGTTTTAATAATTGATTAATATTCGCAGAAAACTTGTTTAACATTTACCGACGCAAAATGCTATAATAGTATTGCATAAATTGTAATGATAATAGTAGCTTCCTCTAATAATTAGTAAACACATTATTAGAATTTTATGACTTCGAAATTGATACCTCTCTGATATTTTTACGACTCGAAGTTTCCATGTAAACAATTTGATTTCTAGATACATCCCTACAAAGAAAACTAATAAAAATAATTACTCCAAATTTCAGACGTTATTTAAACATTCCAACAAGAGAAAAAAAAAACGATAACACGATAAAACGAACACTTCCCTAAAAAAAAAAAGAAAAAATAAAAAGAAAGAAATAAAACAATCATTCCAAATTTCAAGAAATATTCCTCCAAAAAGAAAAACAAAAAATTCGTCAGCAAAATAAAACAAAATAAAACAATCGTTTCAAGAAACCTCGGAAAACCTTCCAAGTTTCTTCAAAGTCTAAGAATCCATTTCGAAAAGGTTCCGAATCTATCCGAGTCAGCCCATAAATAATCGACTGATATCCAGCACGGATAAATTCCAGAAATTTTCGCGTAAATCGAGCGATCACCTTGCGCGGAGGTTATCTTGGGGATCCTTGGAATGGGCGCAGCCCAGTCCTACGCCGCGAAAATTTATGAACGAGGAAACGGCGTGGATCGCGGCGAGGAGCATAGGTTTCCTCGGTCGTGTCTCCTCCGTTGAGCGGCAGAACGAACCGTTCGGTGATATAAGGACGAGCGTGGGCGACGCTCGCTTTTCAAGCGCGGATCGCAAGCGCGACTTCGAAACTGGTTCCAAGCGAATTAGACGGCCGCGAGGTGCCCTCCTCCTCCTCCTCCTCCTCCTCCT